GAGCAAGTGACCCGACTTTTCAAGGTTTCTCCCTCCCCAGTTCCATGGACTCCATGAAAGGAAATATTTGAATCTCATGCTATATATTTATTTTTCTAAAATAAGATAAACTGGTGAGTACTGTTCTATTAATGTGTCTACATGTAATCTTTGCAAGTTTAAAGGAGATAAAAATGACAAGGAGAAAGCAGGCCTGGGTTCTAAGCCAAATGTGGAAGTTGGCACTTCTGTGGCCAGGTCGTCATTCTGCAGGGAACACGCTCCTCTTGTGTCAAGTGGAAAAATGACTTCCAAATTGTTTTGAGGCCAAAATAACATGAGTGATTCCCTGGCATATGGCAGGTACTCATAAATAGAACATATTCTTATTGATAATTATTTATTGATTTATTAAAATTTAACAATCACAAGTGGAAGAGCAATTTTTAGAGTTAATATTTTGTGAACAGTATTTTATGACAAAAAGTATTGTTTTCTGATGTCTGTCTTTATAAAAAGGAACTCTCTACCAGATATTAATTAGAAAAATAGAGTATACCAACCCTATTATGCAGCTAAAGGCACACTAACCACGGAGAGCACACCAACCACAGACAGCACGCCAACCACGGAGAACACGCCAACCACGGAGAGCACGCTAACCACGGAGAGCACGCTAACCACGGACAGCACGCTTCTTTAACCACGGAGAGCACAACTACGGAGAGCACGCTAACCACGGAGAGCACGCTAACCACGAGAGCACGCTAACCACGGAGAGCACGCTAACCAAGGACAGCACGCTAACCACGGAGAGCACGCTAACCACGGAGAGCACGCTAACCACGGAGAGCACGCTAACCATGGAGAGTATACACCACGGAGCACGCTAACCACGAGAGCACGCTAACCACAGAGAGCACGCTTAACCACGGAGAGCACGCTTAACTATGGAGAGTATCGCCACCCACGGAGAGCACGCTAACTACTTGAGAGCATGCCAAATCCACGGAGAGCACGCTAACCGGAGAGCACGCACCACGGAGAGCACGCTAATCCACGGAGAGCATGCTAACCACGGAGAGCACGCTAACTAATGGAGAGCACGGCAACTAATGAGAGCACGCTAACCACGGAGAGCACGCTTAGTTCACGGAGAGCACGCTAACCACGGAGAGCACGCTAACCATGGAGAGTATGCCAACCACGGAGAGCACGCTAACCACGGAGAGCACGCTAACCATGGAGAGCACGTTAACCACAGAGAGCACGCTAACTATGGAGAGCACGCTTAACCACGGGAGAGCATGTTAACTATGGAGAGTATGCTAACCACGGAGAGCACGCAACTAATGAGAGCACGCTAACCACAGAGAGCACACTAACTATGGAGAGCACGTTAACCATGAGAGCACGTTAACCACACAGAGAGCACACTAACCACGGAGAGCACGTCTTCTCCAACGTCCCACACCACTGCAGGACAGCCCAGAAACACAGACGCCCTTCGGGGTCTCCTCTGTTCTGCGGGCTGCCGCCACCAACAGCACTGAAGCACCTCACGTGCCTGGGCGAGGCCTCTTCGAAACCGCCACTCATTCTCACGCCCTTTCTGATGAGCATGTCTCTGCCTTCAGTTTTAACTCTACCTCACTTTCTTAGCAAACAAACGGTTTTAAAATCTTGGGTTCTGAGAACTCAAGTCACTTTAGGAACATTTTAAATTCTGTCTAGTGTCCAGGACATTAAGTCAATCTTAGGGCCTTCTGAACATTCCGGTGAGGATAAGTTCACACTCTTAGAGAGACTACAGCAAAGTTCTCCAGAGCTCTGGCTCTGTGGCCAGCCGTTCTCAGGTTAGACCAAATCCCTGGGCAAATGGCTGCACCTCTGCAACCCCAGGGTCCTCGTCTACAGAACAGCCATGCCGAGGCACTGCCCAGAGCTACAGCGGGATTTGAGAAATGAGGTGTGGGAGGGCACGCGGTGGACAGTCAGCACAGCAAGGCCACTAAGAGGACACTAGGCTCCATCCTCACGCTTTCACAGGAGCCCTCCAGATATGCGCCACAGGCAGACCAGAACCTTTAAAATCAGATTTTCTAAGCAATTCTACACGTCTGACCACAGAACACTTCCAGCATGACTTTCTATAATGTCTGAGGGTGAAGAGCTAAGCCTTTCTTTCTATGCTTTGAACTTGACACAGCAGGGCACTGTGGGGGAGGGGAAGGTGAAGCGATGACACCCTAACACCATGTGAGGGGAGGGAGCGTGGCAGAGATGACACCAACACCATGTGAGGGGAAGGAGTGTGTGCAGAGACGCACACTTAAATACCTAAGGGGGTGGGGAGAGGAAGGAGCGTGGCAGAGATGTGACACCCTAACACCATGAGGGGAAGGAGTGTGCAGAGATGATACACCCTAACACCCTGTGAGGGGGAGGGAGTGGGGAAGCAATGACACCCTAACACCATGTGAGGGAGGGAGCGAAAGAGATGACACCTAACACCATGTGTGAGAGGAAGGCGGTGAGTAACACCTTAACACCATGTGAGGGAGGGAGCGTGCAGAGATGACACCCTAACACCATGTGAGGGAGGAGTGCAGAGATGACACCTAATACCATGTGTGTGGGGAGGAGCGCAGGAGATGACACCCTAACACCATGTGAGGAGGATGCAGGAGATGACACCCTAACACCATGTGGGAGGGAGGAGCGTGCAGAGATGACACCCTAACACCATGAGGAGGAGCGTTGCAGAGATGACACCCAACACCATGTGAGGAGGAGCTGGCAGAGAGCTTAGGACACACCCTAACACCATGTGAGGGAGGAGGTGGTAGAGATGACACCCTAACACCATGTGAGGGGAGGAGCGTGCAGAGATGACACCCTAACACCATGTGAGGAGGAGCTGCAGAGATGACACCCTAACACCATGTGAGGGGAGGAGCGTGCAGAGATGACACCCTAACACCATGTGAGGAGGAGCGCAGAGATGACACTCCTAACACTATGAGGGAGGAGTGTGCAGAGATGACACCCTAACACCATGTGGGGGAGAAAGTGTGAAGCGATGACACCCTAACACTATGTGAGGGGAGGGAGCATGCAGAGATGACACCCTTAACACCATGTGAGGAGGAGCATGTAGAGATGACACCCTAACACTATGTGTGAGAGGAAGGAGCATGTAGAGATGACACCCTAACACTATGTGTGAGAGGAAGGAGCATGTAGAGATGACACCCTAACACTATGTGTGAGAGGAAGGAGCTGCAGAGATGACACCCCAACACCATGTGAGGGAGGGAGGTGCAGAGATGACACCCCACCACCAAGGAGGGAGGTGGCAGAGATAACTCCTACTGTGATCATGACATACTCCTACTGCGATCATGACATGCTTCCTACTGCGATCTCAGATGGACATTAAATCTTACAAGTCTCTTCACCATGCAGACCTCTAGACAGCAAGGAAAACAGTTGCCCATTTTCTGTCCATGGCACAGCATCTTCATCGAAGCTTGAGGGATGTATTTTTTATCTGAAGTTGGCAAAGCTATGACTTCTGACACTGTCCTTCAGTTCCGTCCCTCTAGTCTAGATATGCAGCTTTTCTCTGAAAACTAAGTTACACTTTTTTCCATTCTGAGCCCCAGGTCCTTGAGGTAGTGCTAAAATAAATTATCTTAACCAATCTGCAGTTGACCTTTTGGCTTCAATGAGAACATGTGAGGAAAGCTCCTGAAAAATAAAACTTACACCACAGGTGCTAATTTCCCCTGTGTAGGAAGAGGACGCATCAGTAAGTGAAAGAGCCAGAGAGCAGGTCGGCAGGCAGGGAGCACGGGCCCCACCACACAGCATCTGGGGGAAGCCACCAAGAAGCATGGCCAGGATGCCTAACCTCTCCCATCCAAGGGAAACACTCACATTTCACAGACACCATATTTAAACTGCCAAGGACCACACAGCTGGATGAGATGCGGCACTGCCTTAGGGAGCACGGGGAAGGTGGGCACTGCCTGCTGGGAGATGGGACAGTGCTGCTGGGAGCATGGTGTGGGTGGGGGCATGAGCCACACAGCCGACGTGGAGGGAGTGTCCTCCAGCTACGGAGAAGGTGCTGGGAAAGAACAAAGAGCCAGAGGGAGGACAAGCAGCTTTGCACCTGCCCTGCACGTCCAGGCGTCTCTGGGCCAGGCTCTTGCCGCTGAGCCCAGCAGTGAGCAGCAGCTTCCACGGGGTGTCCTTTTGTGCTTTCTGAGTTTGTGACAATGTGGATGCATTATTTCTTCAAAAACATTAATAAAATGGATGTAGTGCATGTCTGAATATTCTATATTCTCAACTCTAATATGCCCTGAAGCACGAGATGATTCCAAATGTGGCACAATTTAACCACGAATGAAGCCAAAGCCCACATGAGGCCTGAGTTCTCACGCACTCCCATGCTCACAGAACACGCGCTGTCACACTGCACGTACCCGGAGCTGTGAGTGCTCACAGGGGAGGCACACAGGCCCCTGCAGGAGGAGGCCACGTTACACAGAGAACACAGTGGCCCAGCCTTGCCAGGTGCAGGGTTGTCACAGGCTGGGGGCAAGGGCATGAGTGCCAGCCAGCCCAGGAATGGCTGCAGACGCCTGGCCGGCGGTGGCCAGGGTGATGGGCACTGGCCCCATGCGTCCTGTCGGGGGGTACATAACCATTCCTGGGAAATGGCATGTGGGAGTTTGACATCGCCATGGCTGGGACCAGGGCTCCTCTTCAGAAAGGCCAGGGTATCCGGAGAGGGAAGAGGTATGGAGAGGAAGGTCTGGAGCAGGGACGGCGTGGGGACTTGTGTGCGCAGACGTCCCTAAGGAAGGAGGGGAGCTCATGGGCAGCTTTGCTTACAGAGCTCGCTCACAACCATGACCCCACAGGAGTTTCACAAATCAGCGTGCCCAAGGAAAAGCAGTTTGCTTCAGCACAGGCAGCACGCACCGGCAGAGGTGAGCCCGCGGTACCTTGATCCCGGCGTTGCGCAGCATCTCCAGCGTGGGCCGCACGTCCGCCTGCAGCTGGTCCTCCACGCCGGTGAGGCATAGCAGTTCCATCTCCCTCTCCAGGCTCTCAACTACCGCGGCCACCTTGAGGGACCTGTCGTGCATGCTCAGCTTGGCCTGAGTGTATCGGCTCTGGGGATAGAGAGGGAGGCGGCTGTGTGCACACGTGTGTACGTGCTCCACGTGTGTACTCCACAGAGCTGGACTGCATGGGCTCTGGGGACAGTGGGGGAGGCGCCTGTGTGCACATACTCTATGTGTACTCAACTCGACTGGACTGTGACCACTTAGGAGTTATCAAGCACAATTCTAAGGAAACTGGCACTTCTTTGCTTCTGTGACACTCCTTTCCCAGCAGGCTGGAGAAGTGGTGGAAACAGAAATGCAGAGAGGATCACCCCATGCTCCTGCTGAGTGAAGCTGCCTTCACTCCTAGACTACAGCAATCCCAGCTCTAATTTCATACAAAGACAGGAAGAACTAATTTCAGCAGAAGGAAGGAAATGTCGTAGGAGGATGAGATGGCTGGGAGTCAGCTCACCTCAAAGTCCTGGTACTGCTCCTCTGTCAACGCCTTCTTTGCAACCACGAGGGTCCGCAGTCCTTCGCGAGCCATGTTTCCGCACTGGAAAAGGAGAGGCCGAGTCACAGGTGGGCCCCACAGAGCCCCTGCAGCTGTGTGTGGGGCCGGGGTAGCACCACACTCTGACTGTTGGTGCCCTGCCCTCATGTCCTGTGCCCACCTTCATCACCAAGACCAGAGACGACTCAGCAGAGGGACGCCTTTATATACAATGCATCCTTTTAACCTCCCGACCTGTCTGGTATCTCGAATCCCACTAACCCCTTCACTCGAGAGGCAAAGACACTGAATGGAGTTGGGGCGCACTCCGCCTAGACTCTCCTGGTGCCTAGCAGAGCTTCCTTTTACACAGCATGGGCTTTTCAAAAAAACATACTCTGAATCCTTAAACACCACCACTCCAGAGTGTGGACACCAGACTGCATGTAGCAAGAATACACGGAGGGTGCACGTGGCAGTGCTGGGGACGGGGTGAGGGGAGCACCTGGTGCCAGGGAGGGCTCCTGGTGTGCACTGGGGGAGAGGTGAACCCCCCTGGCATGTTGTAATACCATGGATTTAGAACCAGATGGCTGGGCCTGAAAACTCTTTCTACCACAGACTGTGTGTTTTTGGGCAAATGACCTAATTTTTCTGTGCTTGTTTCCTCCTTAATAGGAGGAAATTAATAGAAATGGGCTCCTTAATAGAAATGGGCTCATAAGAGTGTTGCTCTGGGACTAACCCTGTGAATCTGTGTAAGTTCTTGTTGCTCTATTTTAAACATGCATGTAACTGGCCCCGCAGGGCAGCCGATCACATGCAGTAAGTGCAGTCAGTGATGGAGGGGACTTTGAGTGCAGGGCCGCAGCGAGAGCTGGGGTTGGTGGGGACACGGCCAGATCCCAAAGCTCATGAGTCTCACCCTGCATTCCGGCTTCTAGAGCAGGGGGACCCTGCAGGAGTCATGGGCCTGATGTGCGTGTTGAAGCACCCTGCATTCTGGCTTCCAGAGCAGGGGGACCCGCAGGAGTCATGGGCCTGATGTGCGTGTTGAAGCAAGACATGGAAATGCCTGCAATGGGCACATGAAACAGGCCTAACCGTGTTCACGGTCAGGGAAGGCGTCAAAATAAAAAATACGACTTTCCAAATCGAGGTAAAAGTGCAACAGTTTTAGCTGGTGATGGGGCGAAGAAACAGGCTCTCTGGGACAAGGCGCAAACCTGTCCCAGAGGGGTGGTGCAGGAGCAAACCTGTGCGGAGGTAACACTCTCAAAGCTAAACTGCTCATACCAGTGACACACATCCCAGTCCTGGAAATTCAACCTGTACTTAAAAAGTAGAAACTGATGTCCACAAGAGGTTGACAGGTGCCATGTTGCTTTTACATGAACAAGGGTCAGGTTTTAAAAGGCTTGGATGAGAATGCTCATAGTCAGTAGCTACACCCTGCACTTCCACAGAGCCAGCAGAGAGAATCTGGAGAGCTGCAGAAGCCGGTTCTGGAACTCTGCGCTTTCTATGCCATTTCCTTGTGTGCAAAGTGAAAACAGTTCCTCCCTCACATGGTTGTGGTGACGTGAAGGACACCCAGAGGGACAGGCCTCGCGGGGCCACAGGAACAGACACATGAAGCACGTGTTCCTGCAGGGCAGGGTGAAGAAACAAACCCAGCCCACGCTCCTACCCGGCACAAGGCGGTGTGGGCGACCCGGCAGATGTGGGCAGGAGGGCACCAGTGGGCCTCCTACCCGGCACAAGCGGTGGCGCACTCCGGCAGATGTGGGCAGGAGGGCACCAGTGGCCTCCCTACCCGGCACAAGGCAGTGTGGGTACTCTGGGCAGATGTGGGCAGGAGGGCACCAGTGGGCCTCCTACCCGGCACAAGGCGGTGTGGGCGACCCGGCAGATGTGGGCAGGAGGGCACTGGTGGGTCTCCTGGGGGACCAGGCGGGTCCACGACTTAGCTGTGAGCACACACAGTCCTGCCCAAGGGGCCAACGTCTGGGGGGTGCAGACAAGAGGCAGGGATTGGAGGGTGCTGGGCTCCCAGATAGCTAAGGGGGTGCTGGGGCTGTCAGGAGACAACCCCACCCCCCTCTGCTGTGTGGACCAGGACAGGGCTCAGGACAGTGGGGCCCTCTTCCAGGGACACAGAGGGACCTTACAGTTGATTACTAAGTGCTGGGTGAGGTGTGCCTAAGCTTTAAAGTTGTGGTGTGTTCTATGAAAAGTACATTTAAAAAAACAAAGTAATGAACACTAAGCTATATAACTGTCCAAACTATCAATTTTTGAATCTAGCAGTTTCTACTTTTTTTTTTTGAGATGGAGTCTTGCTCTGTCTCCCAGGCTGGAGTGCAGTGGTGTGATCTCGGCTCACTGCAAGCTCCGCCTCCCGGGTTCACGCCATTCTCCTGCCTCAGCCTCCCCAGCAGCTGGGACTACAGGTGCACACCACCACGCCTGGCTAATTTTTTTGTATCTTTAGTAGAGGCGGGGTTTCACCATGTTGGCCAGGATGGTCTCTGACCTCGTGATCTGCCCACCTTGACCTCCCAAAGTGTTGGGATTACAGGCGTGAGCCACCACGCCCGGCCTAGCAATTATTAGGGCTAACATACTTTAAGATGCTTTAACAGCGACCCTCCCTGTAGACAGGGCTTGTGTGTGTCCTGGAAGGTCCTGAAAGACTGGCTGCTTAGCACTCTCCATCCAGTTGTTGTTGACTCCCTCTTAAATTTCAAATTTGAGGAACTCTTCCACATTTTAACAAGGTTTATAAAGCTCCTGTCTCTGGCAGGTTTAGCAGTCTCTGGCATTAGGGTTGATAATACAAAGAAATCAGTGGTAATCACATCTTCCTGAAGCCCTGGGAACTTTCTGCAGCTCAGGTGGACACTCCCAACTCAGCTACGGCCCACAGTGAGCCCCACAGAGGCGGTGCAGCTGCAAACGCGCCCGCCACCATGATCCCCAGCGAGAGGAGAGGTCTTCTAGAGGCTATCTTGGTAACCTCCAAGGAGAACAGAGCTCTACATTATAGCTAGAGAACAACTAATCACAAACATTATTTTCAGTGTATACTTAAAACATTAAAAATGTGAACTTTGATAATGCAGACACTTAAGCAAAGATACCCTAAAGAAGTTAATTAGCTACATTTGTTTACGGAAAAGAAGATCAAACACTAGTAAACCTGGTTTGTGCAAGGTTGCACTGAACACTGAGAGTCTGCATGGTCGGGAGAGGAAATGCGACAGTGCCGCTAAGGAAGGCTCCGCCAGCCCTCAGGGTGGACGCGCAGTGGAGAGGCCAGCTCCGAAGACAGCCACAGAAAGCCAGAGATGGGCAGCTGCGGCCCGGAGAGCTGGGGCTTTGGGCATCTGACCGTTCTCAGCACTGCCAGGAGAAGTGTTGAGAAACCTCCAGGCACACCGCACGCTTGGAAACACACCACGGTGCACGCACGCACATCACAGCCCCCAGTCACGCGCAGAGACCCTGTCATCACCCATCATCTCTCCTGGGCAACAGGCAGCCCTCCACACGGGAGGCCCCACTCTAATGAAGCCAGTGTAGTGTATCTGCTGATCCAGGTTAATTTGTAGGCAAATAAACATTATTGAATTCTTCAGATTTTCTGCAATTTCTTTTTAATTCATCCAGTTGATTGGATTTGACGTTGGTTTGGAGGCTGCAGGGATGGCAGGAAGGGCTGGAGGAGAGGTGTGGGTCTAGCACCCCTCTTCATGCATCCAACAGCTGTGTCTCTTCCTGTCTCCTGTTTAGGAATCGGAATAGTGACCTCTATAGGGTCATGGTTACAGGAGACAAAGGAGGTGACAATTACTGTGAATTACAAAGGCAAGGCTGTCATCCATTAGACCTCCTGTCATTCCCAATTTTAGCTACAGATGGCCCTTAAACAACATGGGTTTGAATAGCATGGGTCCACTTTTATGCAAATTTTTTTCAGTAAAGCTTATGTGGTGTGAGCCTGCGCCTCCTGCCTCCACTTCCACCTCCTCCACCTGTTCTGCCTCCGCCCTCCTGAGAGAGCAAGACCAACCCCTCCTCCTCCTCAGCCTCCTCAACATGAAGACGGTGAGGAAAAAGGTCAGAAGGTTACCACGATGGCCCACTCCCACTTACTGACGAGCAGATACATTTTCTCTTCCTTATGATTTTCTTAATAACACTTCCTTTGCTCTAACTTACTTTCTTGTAACAATGCAGAATGCAATTCACATAACATACACATTGTGATAATCAATCTATCCCTGTTACTGGTATGGCTTCGGTCGACAGGAGGCTATCAGTAGTTATGTGTTTGGGAGTCCGAAGTGATAGGCTGATTTTCAACTGTGTCGGGGGTTGGAGCCCCTGACCCTCGTGTTGCTCAGGGTCACCTGTGCTTGTTTCCTTTACGATACAATGTCCAGGGCCTAACTCAAGTTTGTGTTTAGAGGGAAGGAAGCCAATCACCTCAACATCTCCAGCTATCCAGAACATCACTATTTTAAGTCTGTTCACAGACTTACATATTCTTACATCTCAGGTTTGCAAAAACTGGTTTTGTTATGTGATCATGGAATTTTTTTTTTTTTAAAACATTTGGAGAACACAAGTTGACAGCCAAGAATTCAGCTCTAGAGGAGCCTGAAGGAAGCGGAATAATGCGCTCGAAGAACCTGCTGCCTCGTTTAGTCTGTAATAAAAGGAAAAGCTTTCACACTACAGTAGTACCACAACAGACACTGATGAAGGGACAACAATCATCCAAGGAAAGAAAATACAATGTTGAGAAAATAAATGTACATAGAATTTTTAATAAAGTTATCTTTGTGAAAAACATACTGACATTATCTGTCTGTTGCAAGACATTTATTGATTTAACCTCATAAAACTAAATAAATTAAACAAGTATTTTACAATAATTGCACGTCATTGTGACCAAAAGTAATTTTTATGGCATTTTACTAGGTCTTCAGGGAGTTTAATTTATTCATGTCCCTGATTAAATGAAAGAACCCTGAAGGAGACATTGATTCATATTACCAATACCACTGTGAGTGTCGGGGTGTGGAGGCTGCACGGACAGACCATCTCGGAGGTCCCAGGGTGGGAGGAGAGGCTCTGAATTCCAACAGCAACACGCACACAGCAAAAAGAGCCGTGTTGACTGCAATGCCAACAGTCTGTTTTCCTCGGAAATCCAACCACTGATTTATACATAAGCTTAACGATAAACAAAACCACCTCATGAGACGACCCACAAATCCTGGTTACTTCAGGATAATTTAATGAAATATGGAATTGCTTCTCATTTGTATCTTATGTTCTAATTTTAGGTGAATCTTATGCATAAATTTGCATCAGGTTAAAATTCTAATGAAAATTTCCTTGCAAATATTTATGTTACAAAAGAAATACATTAAAATATAACTTTGATTACATATAAAGTATTATTTCAGAATAATGGATGATTGATAATGCCTTCTATTTCTCACTATTATAAACAAAATATTCTTTGTAAGGACCTACTTGTATAGACTGACATGCACTCACCCACAAAACAAAATGATCGTTATTCACATAGAAAGTAAACTATTGGCTGGGCATGGTGGCTCATGCATGTAATCCCAGCATTCTGGGAGGCCAAGGCGGGCGGATCACAAGGTCAGGAGATAGAGACCACCCTGGCTAACATGGTGAAACCCCGTCTCTACTAAAAAATACAAAAAAAAATTAGCCGGGCTTGGTGGTATGTGCCTGTAGTCCCAGCTCCTTGGGAGGCTGAGGCAGGAGAATCGCTCGAACCTAGGAGGTGGGCTTGAACCTGGGAGGTGGAGGTTGCAGTGAGCCGAGATCATGCCACTGCACTCCAGCCTGGCTGACAGAGAGTGTCTGTCTCAAAAAAAAAAAAAAATTAAACTATTTATAAATAAATAGACAGGACTCCTGTCCTTTCTCCTTTACAAAATTGAGAACTGTAAGCATTTAAAATAATTTAGTATAAATGATACTGTGTTTGACAACCTATATGGTTCCCATCAGCATCTGGTTTGACGTTTGACAGCTCAGTTTATCCAGTGATACCAGTGTCCACAAGCTGGGGAAAGGATATCCTTTTTCTGTCATCTATTCAATAAAGTTCACAAAAACACCGTGAACCAGGCGGAGAATCATTCACATACCTCCTCTTCCAGCCAGTCGTTATACTGCACGACAGGAGACATGGCCACATCAGCGCCCTTCATGTAAAATGTGATTTCTGCCGTGGATTCATCCTATCACAGAACAAGAATGAACAGAAGCACATTTAGGCTGCATTGCTTGGTGCAAATAACTGCTAGTCTAATAAAACACATAATGGAAAAAGCAATTCCTATGAACGTGTTCCTGTGTGGTAAGCTACTCACGTGTTTCTACACAGAGGGCTAGTCCCGCTCTTCAGCACTAGTGCCGTCAGGATTGAGAACATGATTGTGCATCCTGAGACGCTAGGCTGAAGGTCTGAATGTGTTAATGAGTATGATTTGGGTTGCATCCATTCTCTTAAGCTTTTACAGTTGGATTGAATGCTTCATTGTTTAGTCAACTTCCAAGACATGATTTTGGTGTTTGCTAAAAAAATTAAGGTACATTTTGGCAACTTTATGGTCATAAATCAATATTCAAAAGTCAAACTCTTTGGCGTCTTATTTTTGTTGAAATCAAAACAGCTTTAGTTGTTGATTTCAAAAAATAAATAAATCCCACATTATTGATTCTGGTTGACTTAGGAGAGTTATTTTATCTCACTAGAGACACAGTGGCTTCCCAGACATAGATTATTAGCTTAGATTTCATTAAAACAAAAAAAACTGTAACAGCATAAAGCACTTGAGTAAATATTTAACTTTCTTTTGGGAAAATTTGTGTCTAAAAGGCCTGAAAACGAAACGTCCGAAGCCAGCGCACGGCACCCTCGCCGCAGCCTCACCCTGACGATGATGCCCATCCGCTTGCTCTCCGAGGTGAAGGGGAACAGCTGCAGGATGCAGAAGCTGAGGACCTGGCCGCTGGGGGTCTTCAGCTGCATGGAGGTGAGGTCCCTGCTGACCAGCGTGAGGCCCACACTCTCTGTCCACTGCACCAGAGCGACCTATGGGAGACAGCAACGCCTGAGGCCACCACTGACTCACGAAAGCTGCACGTGGGCGAGCCAGCACGGTGGTGCTCAGAAAGCTCGCCAACATGGGACAGCTGCAGAAAAACTTAGGTGTTCAGAACATTTTGGTTTCATGGGTAAGTATATACGTTTGAATAACATTGTTCTAGAGTAATCCTAAGCAATATGACCAAAGTCACTTGGTATTATTCTTTTTTTTTTGAGACGGAATCTCGTTCTGTCACCCAGGCTGGACTGTAGTGGCGCGATCTCAGCTCACTGCAAACTCTGCCTCCCGGGTTCGCGCCATTCTCCTGCCTTAGCCTCCCGAGTAGCTGGGACTACAGGTGCCCGCCAACACGCCCAGCTAATTTGTTTTGTATTTTTAGTAGAGATGAGGTTTCACTGTGTTAGCCAGGATGGTCTTGATTTCCTGACCTCATGATCCGCCCGCCTCGGCCTCCCAAAGTGCTGGGATTACAGGTGTGAGCCACCGCGCCTGGCCTGGTATTATTCTTTAAAATAAAGACCATGATGGATCATAAAGACTTTCTTTACAATTTGTGTTAACTGCTCCCTAGAGCCAGATGGTGTTAAAATCGAGAATGCAGCTCACTCCATCAGTCTGGGGGCAGGGAGCAAGTGACCCGACTTTTCAAGGTTTCTCCCTCCCCAGTTCCATGGACTCCATGAAAGGGGAAATAGTTTGAATCTCATGTTTACAGTATTTATTTTTCTAAAATAAGAGATAAACTGGTGAGTAATTAACTCTATTAATGTGTCTACATGTAATCTTTGCAAGTTTAAAGGAGACAAAACAGACAAGGAGAAAGCAGGCCTGGGTTCTAAGCCAAATGTGGAAGTTGGCACTTCTGTGGCCAGGTCGTCATTCTGCAGGGAACACGCTCCTCTTGTGTCAAGTGGAAAAATGACTTCCAAATTGTTTTGAGGCCAAAATAACATGAGTGATTCCCTGGCATATGGCAGGTACTCATAAATAGAACATATTCTTATTGATAATTATTTATTGATTTATTAAAATTTAACAATCACAAGTGGAAGAGCAATTTTTAGAGTTAATATTTTGTGAACAGTATTTTATGACAAAAAGTATTGTTTTCTGATAAAAGTCTGTCTTTATAAAAGGAACCTCCCTACCAGATATTAATTAGAAAAATAGAGTATACCAACCCTATTATGCAGCTAAAGGCACACTAACCACGGAGAGCACACCAACCACAGACAGCACGCCAACCACGGAGAACACGCCAACCACGGAGAGCACGCCAACCACGGAGAGCACGCCAACCACGGATCTTTATAAAAGGAACCTCCTCAGATATTAATAGAAAAAATAGGGTATACCAACCTATTATGCAGCCAAAGCACACACCCAACCACGGAGAGCACACCAACCACAGAGACAGCACGCAACCACGGAGAACACGCCAACCACGGAGAGCACGCTAACCACGGAGAGTACGCCAACCACGGACAGCACGCCAAATCAATGGAGAGCGCCAACCACGGAGAGCACGCTAACCACGAGAGCACGCTAACCAATGAGAGCACGCTTAACCACGGAGAGCATCGCCAACTAAGACAGCACGCGCAACCACGGAGAGCACGCTAACCACGGAGAGCACGCTAACCACGGAGAGCACGCTAACCACGGAGAGCACGCTAACCACGGAGAGCATCGCCAATTCATGTGGAGAGCACACAAAATCCACGGAGAGCACGCTAACCATGGAGAGTATGCCAACCACGGAGAGCACGCTAACCACGGAGAGCACGCTAACCACGGAGAGCACGCTAACTATGGAGAGCACGCTAACCACGGAGAGCATGCTAACCATGGAGAGCATGCCAACCACGGAGAGCACGCTAACCACGGAGAGCACGCTAACCACAGGGAGCACACTAACCATGGAGAGCACGCTAACCACGGAGAGCACGCTAACTATGGAGAGCACACTAACCACGGAGAGCACGCTCTCTCCAACGTCCCACACCACTGCAGGACAGCCCAGAAACACAGACGCTTCCTTCGGGGTCTCCTCTCTGTTCTGCGGGCCTGCCGCCACCAACAGCACTGAAGCACCTCACGGCCTGGGCGAGGCCTCTTCTCAAACCGCCACCTCATTCTCACGCCCCTCTTCTGATGAGCATGTCCTTGCCTTCAGTTTTAACCTCTACCTCACTCTTAGCAAACAAACGGTTTTAAAATCTTGGGTTCTGAGAACTCAAGTCACTTTAGGAACATTTTAAATTCTGTCTAGTGTCCAGGACATTAAGTCAATCTTAGGGCCTTCTGAACATTCCGGTGAGGATAAGTTCACACTCTTAGAGAGACTACAGCAAAGTTCTCCAGAGCTCTGGCTCTGTGGCCAGCTGCTCAGGTTAGGACCAAACCCTGGGCAAATGGCTGCACCTCTGCAACCCCAGGGTCCTCGTCTACAGAACAGCCATGCCGAGGCACTGCTCAGAGCTACAGCGGGGATTTGAGAAATGAGGTGTGAGGGCACGCGGTGGACAGTCAGCACAGCAAGGCCACCAAGAGGACACCAGGGCTCCATCCTCACGCTTTCTCACAGGAGCCCTCCAGACATGCGCTCACAGGCAGACCAGGAACCTTTTTTAAAATCAGATTTTCTAAGCAATTCCCCACACGTCTGACCACAGAACACCTCCAGCATGACTTTCTAATGTCTGAGGGTGAAGAGCTGCTTCCTTTCTTTCTCATGCTTTGAACTTGACACAGCAGGGCACTGTGGGGGGAGGAAGTGTGAAGCGATGACACCCTAACACCATGTGAGGGAGGGAGCGTGCAGAGATGACACCCTAACACCATGTGAGGGGAAGGAGTGTGCAGAGACGACACCCTAACACCATGTGTGAGAGGAAGGAGCGTGCAGAGATGACACCCTAACACCATGTGAGGGGAGGAGTGTGAAGCAATGACACCCTAACACCATGTGAGGGAGGGAGCGTGCAGAGATGACACCCTAACACCATGTGTGAGAGGAAGGAGTGTGTAGAGGTAACACCCTAACACCATGTGAGGGGAGGGAGCGTGCAGAGATGACACCCTAACACCATGTGAGGGGAGGGAGTGTGCAGAGATGACACCCTAACACCATGTGTGGGGAGGAGCCACCATGTGTGAGAGGTGAAGGAGCGTGCAGAGACAGACACCCTAACACCATGTGAGGGGGAAGGAGGTGCAGAGATGACACCCCTAACACCCTTCTGTGAGGGAGAGGTGAAGCAATGACACCTCTAACACCATGTGAGGGAGGGAGCGTGCAGAGATGACAACTTCTAACACCATGTGGAGAGGAAGGAGTGTGTAGAGGTAACACCCTAACACCATGTGAGGGGGAGGAGCTGCAGAGATGACAATCTCTAACACCACATGTGAGGGGAGGGAGTGCAGAGATGACACCCCAACACCTCGCGGTGTGGGGAGAGCGCAGCAGATGACACCCTAACACCATGTGAGGGGAGGAGCCGTGCAGAGATGACACACCCTAACACCATGTGAGGGAGGATGCAGAGATGACACCCTAACACCATGTGAGGAGTGGGAGCGGTGCAGAGATGACACCCTAACACCATGTGAGGTGAGAGCGCAAGTGGTGCAGATGACACACCCCAACACCATGTGAGGGGAGGAGCGTGCAGAGATGACACCCTAACACCATGTAGAGGAGGAGCGTGCAGAGATGACACCCTAACACCATGTGAGGGGAGGAGTGTGCAGAGATGACACCCTAACACCATGTGTGGGGAGAAAGTGTGAAGCGATGACACCCTAACACCATGTGAGGGGAGGGAGCGTGCAGAGATGACACCCTAACACCATGTGAGGGGAGGAGCATGTAGAGATGACACCCTAACACTATGTGTGAGAGGAAGGAGCACAGAACACCTTCCAGCATGACTTTCTAATGTCTGAGGGTGAAGAGCTGCTTCCTTTCTTTCATGCTTTGAACTTGACACAGCAGGGCACTGTGGGGGAGGAAGTGAAGCGATGACAATCTCTAACACCATGTGAGGGAGGGAGCGTGCAGAGATGACACCCTAACACCATGTGAGGGGAAGGAGTGTGCAGAGACGACACCCTAACACCATGTGTGAGAGGAAGGAGCGTGCAGAGATGACACCCTAACACCATGTGAGGGGAAGGAGTGTGCAGAGATGACACCCTAACACCCTGTGAGGGGAGGGAAAGGAAGCAATGACACCCTAACACCATGTGAGGGGAGGGAGCGTGCAGAGATGACACCCTAACACCATGTGTGAGAGGAAGGAGTGTGTAGAGGTAACACCCTAACACCATGTGAGGGGGAGGGAGCGCAGAGATGACACCCTAACACCATGTGAGGGGAGGGAGTGTGCAGAGATGACACCCTAACACCATGTGTGGGGAGGAGCGCAGAGATGACACCCTAACACCATGAGGGGGAGGAGCTGCAGAGATGAGACATACACCCTAACACCATGTGAGGGGAGGAGCGTGCAGGAGATGACACCCTAACACCATGTGAGGGGAGGAGCTGCAGAGATGACACCCTAACACCATGAGGGGAGAGCGTGCAGAGATGACACCCTCCTAACACCATGTGAGGGGAGGAGCGCAGAGATGACACCCTAACACCATGTGAGGGGAGGGTTTTTGCAGAGATGACACCCCTAACACCATGTGAGGAGGAGCTGCAGAGATGACACCCCTAACACCATGTGAGGGGAGTGAGCGTGGCAGAGATGACACCCTAACACCATGTGAGGAGGAGTGCAGAGATGACACCCTAACACCATGTGAGGGGAGGAGTGTGCAGAGATGACACCCTAACACCATGTGTGTGGGAGAGAGTGTGAAGCGATGACACCCTAACACCATGTGAGGGAGGGAGCATGCAGAGATGACACCCTAACACCATGTGAGGGGAGGAGCATGTAGAGATGACACCCTAACACTATGTGTGAGA